GGCTTTATGTTGTTTTTTTTTCTCAGAACGTTCTTGTATGCACTGCAGGATACTTACTTTCACTTAAGTCCCACATTTATTTGTAAAAGCAGGCTGTAATTTCTCTTGCCCTCTAATTCTCATTCTTTTTAAGGAGTGATGATATGTCTCTCTGCAACAACTTGGAGTTTAGATATATACAACCTTACTTTCTTTCCTCTAAAACACTCTGCTTCTGCAAAGTGCCAGTGGAGAGAACTAGAGAATGAAGCTTGCTTTCTTCACTGAGAATAAATCTGTCACGTTAAGCTGAAAAGTTCTGACTGCAAAGTGGTCTGTCCTATGCCGTCTTGCTCATTTCAAGGCATGACTATTTTTCTAGACTCCACTAGGCGCGAGAAAGTAGGTTTCCGTGTTAAGGTTCAGTTCTATCCTTTTCAGCTTTCTGCCTTTATTCCTGCACCGTTTGCAAAGCGGGGAGCTGCAATGTTTAGGTATGTCTGTGCAGTCCTCTGATGCTTCCACATTAAGTGCTACTTCAGACCATATTCAAATCAATGGCCAAAAAGTGGAGTTCTTGTTTTTTCACTCATTTCCACCTCTAATGCTAATCTGTGCACAGGTCAATGCTCCTTCATTTCTAAAAGAAGCATCAAATGCGAACTTCTCTGTTTATGGAGTATTCTTGTTCTAAAAACCCATAGGCGAATAGGAAACCTATGTAAGCCAAAACTTTATGTATTCTTAGTGCTTAAGTTCTGAGTAGAATTATTTCCTATAGTTGCAGACAGGGTATAATTACCATTGTCAGACCTAGCAGACAAAGAATGAAAATAGTCGGGTCAGCATTGGTGTTTTCTTCATTCTGTTTCCTTTCATAATGGCCTGAGCCTTCTTCCCCTTGGCAGGAGTTCGTGAAGAGTCTTGTTATTACTCCCTGTAGGCATGCTTTTTCTGGGGTCATGCAACATTATCCTCTTACTGGCAGAAGCCAGCAATGGATAGGAATTTACCAGCTTCTGAGGAAGTAGCGCTTGGCATCCGACCTCTTCTGTGGTTTTTCGCTGTGGAATTCACAGCAAAACTCCCTACAGATAAGTGAGCCAGTGTCTTAAGCTTTCACTTTTCTATGCCATGCTGCTAGTCCATCATACGGTAAGATAATAGGCAATGGTTGGCAGCATACCAAGTTGTCTCATTGCATGAAGCTTCAGACTGGTAACATGGTTCAGATTAACAGCTCAGAGCTGATAGAGTTTGACAGGTAGATTTGAGTCAGGCACTGGAGTGAGGAAAGTAGAGAAGTGTTAAGAATTTTATCCCTGTGAGAGTCTAGGAGCTTTGTCCTTCCTGGATACCCGTGAACTCAACCCCTGTCGATACCTGGCTGTCAATAACTCATAGTTTGTATTGTATGGGTTGGTCAAGCATAATCAACTGTGAGTCATATATTCACAATGTTAGCTATGTTTTTATTGGTGACAGTTGCTCATAAAACATCCGGAACCCAAGAGGAATTAGCACTGGGCTGAAAGTACAGAGGCCAATAGTTGTGATTTAAACAGTCTCACTCCTGCTAACAGTTCTGCACATTTCTATGTCTGTGATTATCTGGAGTTTGATTCCTTGTTAGAGGACTTACGTTACTGATAGACTAATAGGATGTTGCTTCAAGAAAATGCTTAAAATGGAATAAGATGTTGAGTTATTTAACTACAATGTCTGCTTCGTCATGTGATCTTTTACAAGTTAGTTATGTCGTGTATGTGAACAATACATGCATACTGTCAGTGAGATTTGGAAGAGTGAGACTATACATGGAAAATTCTGTAAATTACCTTACCAAAGCTGTGGTTCCTAATCTATCAGACTGTGCTTTGCCATGTGCCTCTGAAAAGGGGTATGTGGAGCTGTGCCTAACTTAAGCAGAATGTACTTCTAAGGTGACTGTTCTGCTCCTGGTGCTGAGCCTATTCCAAGTATCTCTATATAGTTCTGTATTTTTCTGCTTAAATCCTCAACTATGAATATGAGTCCATGTTTTTAAATCTGGAATTCCTTGGTTTAGTTCCTGCTAACACTGTTGAGAATGGGATCCAGACCCCTTGGTGTGTTTTCCACCACTATCATTTGGCCAGTATTAGTGTCAGTGGTTTCCTCTGTGGGCTGGTCCTCTTAGCAGGTGGCTGCAGAAGTCTTACCATCTCTCAAGCTGTAAACTTTTATATAGATAGTGATGCTGATGTAGCAGAGGTTTTGTGTATGTTTGTTTGCAGCACAGCAAATACAGGAAGGAAGGCTGGACTGGAGCTCTGGTCTCTAAAACTAGTTTTATCTGACCAACTCGGCTTAGTAGGCAACTTCCCTATTACTGTCCTGCTGTGGGAACTGGAGGGGTATGTCTTCTCGTTCTGTGTGCTATGTCCTCTGAGTGCACAAGACCTTTAATTTGTCTTCTTGGTGGGGAAGAATCTTTGAAATAAGGGTTTGGTCCTCAGTCTTCATCCTGGCTTTGTACGGCATCTTTACGTAATTTGTGCTAACTGTAGTTGTTCCTCAGAAAGCCAGAAATAGTGGCTGTTCAGCTCCTTACTAACCCAAGCCTAGCCAAAAGGGAAAGAAGGCGGCTTTTAGAGGAAGTGGTGGGTTTCACTTCTACAGCTAGGTTAAGCTTGAAAGGAAGGTTTGTCTTTTGAGATACTTTGCTCTAGTCATGCCCCCAAAATATTCTAATGGCTGGAGCAAATCTATTCATGGAACAGAAGCTGTGTTGTGTCTCCAGAATATCACTTTGTAGATGAAAGCACCAAATACAGCACTGTAGGACCAGTAAACTCAATATGCTTACCAGTAGCACAGCTTTTGGTCTGCGTAGTTTAGAAGCATTTCTGTTCAAGGTTACAGCATGTTGGGATCTCAAATCCAATCCCTGTATGTCAGTTTGATGTTATTCACCTAATGATTTCTCTAGAATAAAATAAGTGCAGTGCTGTAGGAAGCAAAGGATATATTGCTTTAATGATTTTTTTTTTTTAGTTTGTTCTCTGAATTCTACCCATAATGTTTTTGAAACATTTACGAGTTATAATAATTTAAGAATAATAGTAGTGTCTTTGGTAAACTAGTTATCTTATCTTAGCAAAGTAGATGATACAAGTTCTTCTTTAAGCTTTTGCAGGCCTTGCAAACTCAAACAGCAGTAGTAAGACTGGACATGCTAAGACAGTCTCTACTAACCCAGAATAACTAGTGGAGGGTTTGGCAAAGCAGTACATTCCTCCTGCTTTCACACACTTCTTCCTATAGGACCTCTTATTCTAATTATCCTTATCACTTAGCTTTTGGCCTATACTAAAAAAAAAAAAAAAAGTAAATGCAATCTTCTTTTTCCTTCTGTTTTTAAGATAAACATGTGACACTCTCTACTGCTGCCCCTCCATCCGTTGTTTGTAAACACATTTGGTCTCGAAGTTTTCACGTCTACAAGAAGAGATTAAAATTTTGCAGCAATATAGAGGCTTTTTGTCCAAAAATAATAATAATCACTTTTAGATATTACATTTACAAATATGAGGTAAGGTAGGTGATTTTGTCTGATGTCTGTTTATCTGATGCCATGTTTACCACATAAGCAAGTAGAGGCACAAGGATTCATATCAACATTATAATTGAAAATGGAGTTCAGATATTTTACCTGATACCTTCTCATTGCAGGAAATCTTAACTTTCTTCAATGGTGTATTTACTGTTTTTGACCTACCGGCAAAAAACGGATTTGTAGAAGTGGTATTTAGGTAATGTTCCAGAGACTGCATGGGATAGCCTGCTCTGCTATTCTCTGTCTTCTCTTTCAGTCTGTAAATAGAAGATGTCTTTTCATAGAGGTAGCAATGGAGCAATGGTAAACAAGATTTCTGCAAGTAATATTCTACAACTTCTTCAAATAATACTTCTGTTTCATGTCATGCAGACCAGGATATGGCTGTTTGTCAGAAGTCTGGGTTCAATTTGGGTGAAAGTGTGTATGTGTTGTCCTGATGCAGCTTGTAGAACTCTCTGCTACAAAGTATTTCTGGAGAAGAGACTTTCATAATGGAAAGAACTGGATATTTTAGGGGGGATCAAGACATCCATAGTTTATTACATAGGCAAAAGAACACCAAAAGCTATGTATCCAGAGCCCTTGCACTGGGGACTAAGCAATCTGCTAGCGCACAAACTTGGGAAGAAACTCATCTTTGCATAGGCAGCTTATACCGTTGGAGACATTCTTACCTCTTCTTCCAGTTTCTGAGAGACCCGTGCTCCAATCTGATTTGGCAGTTGCTATATTCCTAGAAGCATTGGCTCAGATGTTCAGTATCTTGATTAGAGACAAATGGGAAGAGATCTGTCTGGGTAACGTACTTCCATTAGGCAAGTGTCACATACTGAGGAAAGTTTAAATTAGGTTTGAATTTGGTTGCAGGCAACTTGATCTTTATTGTGCTGTACCAATTTGTTTATAGAGTTTGTTCAGCTTCGTTAAAAGCTTTGGACATCTAATGCGGTCAGAGCTTGTGTTGCATTTTGAAAACGCCAAAGCAATCCCAGAAAAAAGCACTTGAATGTTTTAGTTTTTTTCTATAATGGGTGTTGTCTTATGCAATATTCATGCACTAAAAATGATTTAAAAAAAAGCGTGGTGGAGTAGCAGGGGAGGAGGACTTCAAAGTGCCCTCTCTTTTGCACTGCATTGTGAAGTAGCCTTTTCGAATTAAATACACAAAAGTTGGAAAACCCAAAGCTGAATGAAGAATGAAGAAGCTGATTGTAGCCCTTCCGCTACACGGAAGCCCGTGTTGGGCTTGATTCACTGTTCTGTTACAGGAGGAACTGTAGCATAACTTTGTGGTAGTAACATGAGGAGCTGCAGAATCAGGACCTATCTCAGCTTGAGTACTGTTTGTAAATAATAGGAATTTTTGTGGTGGTTTTTTTTTTCTCCATTGGTGTTTTGTTGTTTTTTTTTCTCTCAACAGGATCCAGTCTGTGTAGCTATGAACTACAGCCATCTGAATACACTACAGACCCAAGGGCTGCCAAGTTATGTCCTAAATATCCTGTTCCAGAGAGGTAATATTGACATCTTGTTTGATTGAGGGTGGAGGGAGCAGAGACTTGTTTTGTTCATGAGAGAACATTCATAGAGAATACGTAGCACTAATTTATTCTGTTTTACAGGTGGATGTTTTAGTGCATTATTGCCACATGTTTTTAAAAGACATTTTGAAAGCAACTCTTAAAGAAAAACCCAAACTATTAACGCATGTGTTACTGACAGTATTGAACTGGTATCTTCAAGTTCTCCTCTCTCATGTAACTGATGCTGGGCTGAGCATCAGCTGTTTTACTGCCTTTCACCTTATAGCCAGCTGCCTGTCAGCAATGCAGATCAGAGGTAATTACGGCGCACTTTGGATCTTCAGGAAGGAAAAGGATATATTCAGACACAGCTCTCTGCAGTGACCACTTCTTACACCTTACCGAAGTCAGATTTAGTAAATAGCTTCTTTTATCATTCTTTCAGTCCCCAAATCATAGAATCACAGAATCATAGAATCGTCTAGGTTGGAAGGGACCTTAAAGACCATCTAGTCCAACCATCAACCTAACTCTGACAAAAAAATAAATGACCAATATGAGGATGGTCAAATACCAAAAGAGGGCTGTATTTTATAGACAGATCGATTTGAGTTTTATTGTTTAAAATATTTTACTAGACTGCTTTTTGCGAAGGATGAGAGGAGAGTTTTTAGCTCCAGAAACTCTGCTAGGTATGCTGGCTTGAGCTGTGGAGATGAGCATTGCTGTGTGCACACCCTTCTGTCAGTAATTCTGCTCACTCAAGAAGAATCGCATTGTGTTTTCTCAAAGTTTAGCTTCTCATACATATTCAGTAGTGGGTTGTAAAGTCAGACTTGCCCTCTGCATCATTTTCTGTTGTGGTTTTATTAAATGCTATAATCAGGTCACTTCTAAAAACCTTGATTTTAAAACTCTCTTGTCTGCATGGTAACCTCTCCAGTGAATTTTTTTTTATACGTTGTAGTGACAATAAGTAGCAGCTGGATAATAAACTTTTTTTTTACTTTTCCCCACAGCAGATTAATATTCCATGCAGCTAACCAGCTGTTACAGCTGTAATACAAAAACAAATGAAACTTCAGTGCCAGCTTGCATACTGAAAAGGCTTGTCAGTCTTAATTTTTGCCAGAATTATAGTGACTTTTCTCACTGTGTGTTCCCATGTCATTCAGTCTGAATGAATACAGCTTAATAAGAAAACAGGAGGATAGAACAATGTGTCAGAGCTCTAATGACACTATGTAAATTCCTCACAAAAACTACCTCAAGTTATTTTTGAAAAGCTATTTTGTAGGTGGGAGTATTTCCCCTTTTTTATTTTATATGAATAAAATGCTCAATATGATTGAATATTTTCTGAGATTGAAAAGGCCGAACTTAATGCCCTAAAGCAAAAAAGGCCACTATTGTATCTGTAAACCACTCTGTTTTTCAGATTTTTATAGTTAAATTATTTGAGTAAATTAGTGTAATTTGGAGGGTAAGTGGAATCCTGTGGAGACAAACAAATGAAAACCCAACACCCTGTAGGCTGAAGCATTCAGGGAGAGCTTACCTAACACTTCTGTTTTCAGATTGGGTCTGTCAGAGGTATGAACCACCCTCTGATTCCCATTAGGTCCATGGGATGGAGACAGCGTAGGCTGTGAGGACTGTCCCTTGACGTTTTCTGTTTGAGGGCCAGGCAGTTGAGGTTCCACCTCCTACTGGACTCTGATCCTCCAGCTTAAGGCACTATGTCCAGCTTTGACAAAGCACTGCAGTCTAGCAATGCAGCCAGCAATACGTGTGTCTTCCAGAAACTGTGCATAGCACATCTCAGCCTCAGTAGAGCATGACTTGGCTGTTTGGTTTTGAAATAGAGGACCCTAGAGGAAAACCTATCCAGCTTTTTGCCCGCAGTGTTTATCAAACAGTTGTGCTGAGCTGTGCCGAGTGGCTGCTCTCTAGAGGATATAAGCAGCAGGTAGCAGTGGCACTCCAACCAGGCTCCACACACACAGGTTGCTATGTATGCCCAGGTGTAAAAGTGAGGGGAGAAGGCCCTCCTCTGAAATCTAGTACTTGAACATGTTAATCAGATGGGTCTCTTAACCAAGTATCTCTTAATCCAAGTATCATGTTATTCTCAGAAACGTGTAATTCCATTTTGGTATATAATATACCAAGTTATAATCAAGAGGCTATATAAAATAGTACAGGTCACTGAGAAGAGAGCTATTATTGTATTTTTTTATTAAACAAAATACCTTACCTCGCCCTCTCATTCAGTTAGAACCACTGAAATAGCAGCAGATCTCAAAAGGTGGATTCTTAGGAGTCCTATTTAGTAAAGAAAGTGTGTAAAACCACTAACCTTATTTTTTTTTAATTAATTAATTAAGACAGAGTGAGAAATTAATCACTGCACGCAAAAAAAGGTAACTTAAAATGTGTAATCAAATTGCTATATTTTACAGCCTGATAGATGATAATATAAACTCTTGCTAGGCAAAAAGCATTTTCTTGCTCTGTTGGGATGTATTTTGAAATGGTATTTTAATCCCATTAGCTTCCCTTTTCAAAATGGATATTTTTCACATTTGGATGCAGGAATGACAGTCTTTTGCCTATTCCCAGCTCAGATTTTGCACTTTGATATTGACAACTTCTAAATGCTCTAGGCTTTCTGCAAAGTTGGAGCAGTTAACAATTAAATAAACCTCTCAGATTTCAGTATTTCCCAGTATTACTGCACATAATGAACTGCAGTATGCTACATATTCCAAAATAGGCTATGTTGTAAGAGATACATGGGCTGCCATTTAAATAGGGCAGCCATCATTACGTTTTTAGTTTGTTTTTTAATAACTGTGACTAATTCACAATTGCTTTTCTGTACTTAACTGCTGTCTTCATCACTACCTAAAAGTAGACCATCAGTATGAGCAGCTCCAAATGCATTTACCTACACAGCACAGTAAGTTTAAAACCATGTCATTTACAATGGTCAGTCACTTCAAACAAAACCCTAGGATCTATTAATTACCTAGGTATGGCAGGTAATCATAATTTTTCCTGAATTCTGTACAGAATAATTACACACTAATGGTTTTCAGAATCTTGTGTTTTTTCTCAAAAAAACAATGGATAGAAAGGATGTGCCTGAGGCAGCTGGTTTACTCACTATGTGTTTAAAATGACAGAATTTTGGAAATGCTTGGGCTTAACAAATAGTTATTGAGAACAGAAAATTGCTGGTTTGTAGGTGATTGCTCAAATGGGGAAACTGCAAAAGATTATGTGCATTGCTGCTGTAGTCCACTGAAATCTTTTAAGTAAGGAAGATTAGAGAGGGTGAAACAAATTTAAGAGGTTAGAAAACTGATTTAATGCCAAAGACATTTCTTTAATTGCATCAATTTCAAGAAGGAACATGTAATTCATGGAACATGTGTCTGAGGTGTAACTGGGAAGATTGATCAAGAGATGTAATAGGCCACTTTGAGATCCGACATAGTTTATGAGCAAGAAAGGCAGGTACTTAATGGGAAACATTTGAAAAACAAAATTACCCACTTTAAAGTGAGGTTTTTGCTCTCTTACATCTTCCTGTGATGGACTTGATAACAGGTTCTGCTGAGCATTCAGCAAAGTTTAATGCATGTCATCAGCATTTTGAGGGAGGATGCTTCCAAAACAGTTCAGGAAAAATGAAACAATAGAGGCATCTTTGCATACTTTGCAAAGAATGAAGTGCATAATTTTAGCAAAGTTAATGAAAGTAAACACTGTGATTGTAATCTTCAATTCAAGAGTAAGCTTAGTATGGGGAAAAACAGCTAAGAGCAAGTACATTGGTTTTGCTTTGCAGCAGTTGTAAGCGCTAATGTCTTTTAGCATAACATGTATGATTTCAAGAAGAATATTGTCATTCTGGGATTTCTTTTGCTGCGAGTGTGGGCCCGTATTCCATTCTAACACAAGTGAAAGGCATTGTTTCAGCTGCTGGTTCACCACCTGACACTTGAATGAGGGATGTTTAAGTGGAAATAGAAATGTGTATTTTCTGAGCCTTGCCATTTAAGGGAGGGGTGGGTAATAATTTCCTATGGGACTCTGCACTCCAGCCTCAGAGAGTTAACTTGTAAGAACTGCATCACTTCCCATTATGGTCATCCTCATTCCAGCAGCACTTGTGCATTCAACACATGGTTTCTGGTTATGATGTTATGAGGGTGGAGTGGTTGCATCTATTCATCTTTCATTTGTGTGTTGATGTGGCATTTATATAAGTAGGAGTAATTTTTTTTTCTGATTTTTTTTTTCTTGTGTCACCAGTGCACCTATTCCATTCTTCCATCGCTGTGCTCCTGTGAACATTTCCTGCTATGCCAAGTTTGCAGAGGCCCTGATCACCTTTGTCAGTGACAGTAGTGTCTTACACAGGCTGATTAGTGGAGTTATGACCAGCAAAGAGATTATAATGGGACTTTGCTTGTTATCACTAGGTAATTGTTTTTCTCATTACTAGCTATTTCTTAGTATTGCATTAGGAGATTGTTAACACCCTCTAACCACAATGTGAAAAAAAAAAATGTATGATAGCAATGAGCCCGTAGAAAATGGTTGAGAATGCAAAATGCTTTTTTTTTTTTTTAATGTTATTTGACAGCTGAATAACTTATTCAGAAGCAATATACGTACGCATTCCTGGTCTTTTCTCCTCCTTCACTGATTATGAGATATAGAGGATGTGCGGCAACTGGTTAGCCCACATTAGTTTTGGTACATTTAACAGAACATCCCCATTATCCTCATTTTTATTATAATATTCACCTTTCCCTTTTGTAATGTTCACCTTCTACTAACCCAAGTCCAAACAAACCCATTCCAAATGAAAAGGACTGGGTGAGAATTGCACAATAGCACTCTCCTCTAAAATGTAGGGGGTTTAGTTTACTTCATTTAACGTACTTGTGCAGGGATATGAGAGCTTTCAGAGGGAAAACAAGGAAGTTAGGTGCCCATTTGTTGTATTGTATATTATCCCTTTCTTCCCCTTGCCCCAAAGTTAAAACCTTCAGGCCTTTGAAAAATACCAGCCTTCTGTGAAAGGTGGAAAATCCCAGCAGTGTAGTGGTGCTGAATTGTTTCTATAGTTATGAGATACTATATGTCCCTATAGAGTGGCACATCGCACAAGACTGAAGTGTTTTTTTAATGAATTCTTGAGAATTAAGATGGAATGCTACTCACCCACATATATTATTTTCATAATGAATTTATTTTACTCCTTCCATGTATAAAATCTGAAATCCTAAAACAGGAAGCTCCAGATACTATCCATGTATGCAAGCAGTGTGCGGTTTAGAAAAAAACACTGTGAAGATGTACAAGAGAAAGATCTTTGTTTTCAGTCTGCCTTTGTGGGTTTTTTAAAAAAAATAATAATAAAAATGCTAGATATCATTAAAAAAACCCTCACAAAGCACAAAAGACCATTGAATATCTCCACAACCAAAACTAGAAAGCTGTTTATTCCTCAATGATGACAGCTGAAGTATTTTATAGTAATAGAAGAAAGACTGCTGCATCTGAAAGCTAGTGGCTGATTAGCAGTGCTACTTTTGGGTTAGAGTCAGAAATTAGTACAGAGTTTTACATACAGTTAATTAGGAAAATATTTTATTTTTCATACCTTCAGAGTTAAACAGAATTTATTTCTTTTTAAACAAGGGATAAGACTGTGTGATTCTGAAAGCCAGGTTCCAGTGGTTTTCATGTAACTGCTGTCCACAAAGTAGTATATGCAAAAATATGTGCATGCGCTTATAGAAGCTAAATCTTAGTTGGCTGGGATAGTAGAGAGGTTTTTAACATCCAGTTCCTGAATGGCAGTGGAACTATTATGAACAAAGCTTCTTAAAGAACTAATTTTGAGTATTTGAAATAACGTAGTAATTTTTTTAACTTTTTACTGTCATGACATTTGGGAGTACACAGGTGGCACATTATCTGCACTTGTTTGACAAGTGCATTTGAGTGCAAATTCTGCTCTACTCCTCAGGTGTGCTTTTGTTACCAGACTCAGACTACTATCATGTCTTGCTGTCTGTTTTATCATTGTCTAAATGCATCTCTGTCCGTATGTACACATTGTGTCATGTATTTAATGTACCATGCAAATGTATTTATGCTCTCTTTGTTTTAATCAACAGTATCAAAGCAGAAGGTGTAGAGGTCCCTAATTTCCTTAACTATATGTACAATGAGTTTGTAAGCCTCAGAAAATAAATATCTGTCTAAAAATCCTGTTAGAAAGCAGTTATCTTAGTGCAGTGGAAGGCTATTTCAACTTGAAATAATTGCTCTACATATTTTGTCTTCTTTTGCAGTGTTGTCCATGATTTTGATGGTTATAATCAGGTACATTTCAAGAGTACTTGTCTGGATTTTGACAATTATTGTCATTCTGGGATCACTCGGTAAGTCTTGTTTGTCTCCCAGTTTCTGAGTGTCCAGTTCTAATCTTTGTGCTCCATGTCTTCAGGCCAGCTACATCCTGCACAGCTCTTGAACCATGCATTTCCCTTCAGCTTTCCTTTGAGTTCCTTGCAAGACAAATGTCAAAAATGCTGCTTTTGTAATTGTAGTCCTCTCCCAGAGATTATGTTGCTCCTTAGAGATTTGACGCTTTACCTGTTTGGCTGGCCAGCTTCCTGTCAGCCTGTCTCACTAGAGCCCACCTAGGCAATGTGGGATATTCCTCACAGCACTTGTAGTACAGCCCTTAACATTTCCTGCTTCTTAACCTGCCTTCCAAACATGTGAGCAAGCATGCAGGAATCAAAGGGCAGCTACTGTTTATGCAGCCTTAGGATGTAGATATGTCCGTAGAACCCTGCAGGTTCATCAGCCCTTTCAGTCCTCTGAGTAGCTCTGTAGGTGTCTCTAAGATTTGTTCTTGAGCAGAGGAAGCAAAGGTGCTTTTCTAGCATTTCTAATCAAATCCTTGTATTTCCATATGACTCAGAAAGTCCTGCATGACCTGGGTCACGTATGAAATGCAACCAGCCATGCCATCTTGGGAATGGCCAAAGATTGTCTCATGCAAAATGTCTCATGCAAAATGATTTTGCTTGCATGAAGATAGCCTTGCTTTATGACATTAACTTTTATATTTGTAAAATTTAAGTTTTCTATTACTGATACTCGGTAGCAAAGCACAAATGTATGTGCAGATGACTAAAGGGAAGGAACAAAAATAGAATAAATTAGGAAGTACTAGCAATTTAATTCTTGCAATGCATGACTGCAAGGGATGGAAAAAAATCAGCAGACCATCTATGTCTTTTCAGGATCACTTGTTTTTTCTGCTTACTGTTCAGAGGATCTCTGACCACAAAAAAGGGACCTTTTTTTTTTTTCATTTATATTCCCTTAAGACACTGGGCCACTGTGATGAGTTGGAAGTGTTGAATGACTTATTGCTGCCTGTTATAATATTCTAAAAAAAATCGCATCCATTATACAGACTGAAATAAGCGTGTCATTTGAGAGACATACTGCTTGTTCACTATTCAGGGTACACCAAAAGAGCATCTTCCATTTTAGACCTGAAAGGAGTACCTCCAGCAAAGACTTGTGACTTGTGCAGCTGATTCAGAAATAATAACAGAACAGAGGAGGAAACTGAAAACCCTCCCTGAGAAGCAGGAATCTTGTATTTAAGAAAAGTTCTATCTTGGAAATGTAGCTAGAATATGAGAACAGAATTCTGACCATAAGGCTACAATTTCCTAACCAGAGTTAGAAGGAAGTACTTCACAGTATATTGGCCTCCTGAGTCTGTCGCTGATGTTCTTCCAGTGCCCAAAAGACATTGTCTGGTGAAGGTGTAGCTATATGTCATTAACCTGAGGTGCTGTTCTCAGCATCAGGGCTGATTCTTCTCGATTCCCAGGAGCTGTGGACTGCTTTTGTTCCTCTTGTTGTTTTGCATCCTAATCCAAAGGCTTGTCTCTGTTTTCCCTCCTAAATTCTTACTCTCTAGCATATTATACACATAAATTCATACATCCTACCATGTAACACTTTAATCTTCTTTTTGTTACTCCATTGCCTGTCTAATGGAAGCTGTGATCTTCATTGTTAGGGCTCCTCGTGACCAAGTCCTCTCATGCACTTCACCTTAAACCAGAAAGTCAAAGAGCTGCAAGTCCTTTTAAATGGTCATAGTGGGGTGAGACTGCAAAAACCCACTTGAGAAGAGGGCACTTCTCCATTCTCAGAAGTTTCTGTTGGTTTAGCTGTCAGTGCCTTTGAGCCTTCTCTACCAGACTATGCTTAGAAGAGGAAACTGTTTAGTTTCTTTAGTACTAGGTAGTATAACTGGCGTCACATAGAAGGAGCCTCTCTCAGTTATTCTTTTTTTCCTCTCTAAAACACAGGTGGTACAGGAGTCCTTTGGTGGCTTTATGCTAAGCAACGAGTGTCTGCTAGTGCTGTTGAGACTCAAATAGCCAAAGACAATCTTCAGGCTCTTCTGATCTATGCTATTTCAGCTACAGTCTTCACGGTATGTTTTGCTAATGACTATATTATTTTCTTTTTCTGTCTTCCTGGTTGTGTCTATTTTTTTATTCTGGTGCAAGTTCCATATTGCACACATTTTTGAAGAGTTTATTGCTACCGCAAGCTCTGTTGCAGTGATTTTTTTTTTTTTAATTTTTATTTTTGCTTGTAGGCATTGTTCTGTAATATCTGTTTTGAGTCAGGAGAGAGTTCCTGACCTTGCAGCTACTTTCCTCTACTGTAAAATGTCCACAGGGACTCCCGTGAATTGGTACAATATTGGACCCCCAATCCAGTTTCAGTTACGAGATTTTTCTTAGGTTCCTGTGTCAGAGGTACTTCATAATTTCAGTTTATTTGAAAGTCCTCAGACCATTCCTATTTCCAAAATCGGTTGTTCCCAAACTTTTTTCCATTTGCGGAAGAATCATTGTGAAACAAAAAATACTAAAAATTATTGCTGAACTAATTTGTCTTCATCAGGCCTTGCTTTTTGTTTCAGAGTTACTGACTTTACTACTGGAAATTGACAATGTTTGACTAACTTATATCACAAGTTCACCACACCATGTCCATATGTAGGTGTTAAATTGTATTCTTTGTTAAATTCTGCTGATTTCACTGGTTTGTAAAACATAATTGAGGGTAGGATCTGGTCTGATTTCATAAGCCTGAGGCTAATGATGATTCCAAACACGTAATTATGAGGTTGGAATTCCCCAAAAGCATAATTTGTAAAATAATTTATCATTGAAGCTGATAGAGGTTTTACATTTTGATCTTGTGATTTTCTAGGTAGAGCGTGTGTTAATTTGAATATCCTAGCCGTGCAAAATGATAGCTTGCTCATTTTTCAGTTCTCTAAAATGTGATTTGGAAACTCCTTCCTCTAGGTTATCTTGTTCTTGATAATGTTAATTATGCGCAAACGAGTAGCTCTCACCATTGCCTTGTTCCACGTGGCCGGCAAGGTCTTCATTCACCTGCCGCTGCTAGTCTTCCAGCCATTTTGGACATTCTTTGTGCTTATCCTCTTCTGGACATACTGGATCACAGTCCTGCTCTTCCTTGGTACTACAGGTAAGCAGCTACTAGGCTTATTTTAAATAAATTCCACTTCATTTTTATATGGTTTCAGGCAGAGTTGGTTAAAATGCACATAGGAACCTCTGGAAAAAACCCCACATACTATGCTTCTGTTGTTGTCTACTTCAGTGACTTCGAAACACTTGTTTGAAGGAGGTTGTTGTGTGTTTGAGTCTGCATTACCAGTATGCTATTTTGTGCCTTAGGCCGGCTTTTTGATTTGATGCAAGTTGGCATGTTGCAAACCACAAGACTCCATTAATGACTGCTATAATGATTTTCCCAATAATTACCTCTGATTTTACATAAACAGGTCAAAAACAGCTAATCTTACAGCTTATCTCATAAGGTGTTGTATTATATTGTAGCCAGTACTTACACAGATGAAGACATAGTAATGAAAGGGCCATTTACTGTCTCCCAAAATGTATATATACTCAAAGTAGCGTTCAGTTGTTCGTAACTTAGGTGTCTAGTATTATTTCAGCATTTACCAGGATTATTAGGGAGATTTTTCTGCTGTTTGTACACCATAGTTTGGGAGCAGCCAGTGTACTCTCCATTTATGCCTGCTGTGAAGCACATCGGAGGAGAGCTTTCTTTGTGTTCAGGGTCTGACAAGAGCTTCTAGAATTAGTTGATCCTATAAGTTTAAATGTTAGTTACCTCCGTAGAGAATCCTAGTAACTGCTTTTTAACACGGGGGACGTCTGTGTTATTTTGCAGTAAGTTGTAGACAATAGAGACCGTCATTCATTATTAAGATCCCAGAATTCTGAAATTTACTGTTTTCTGCTGGTTGAAAAGTAGCAGTGTTTCAGATCACAAAGCTATTTCAGGATCAAACAAAAGAAATATTTTTTATTTCATAGCCTGAACTTCTAGCAAGGGATGGAGGTAATATAATTCACATGTTCTTGTTCCCATTACTGTTGAAATTTTTAGTTTTCATTGTATGCTCTACTATGTGCAGAAAATTTTTTGCCTCTGAAAGTGAGTTAAGTCTAAGTCCTATGCTTTACTCTATGAGTTAAAGACCACTGCACAGAGACTCAATTTGTAGCAGAATTTAGGCTGATGTTATATTTTTCTGACAGAACTCATCGATTGGCCTTGATTCTGCAAAGGCTAATTTATGCTTTTACCTTTATGCTCACTTGATTATCTTCACTGATATCAATTAAACAAAATCTTTGTACAAATAGGGCCAGATCTTTCAGTCCAGACCAGGAGAACTTAAAAAATGTCTGCTTTATCTGTGTATGAGAACAAGCCTAGTCTTATGAAGAGTTTGTTCACTAAAACCAAAATTATTTCACTAGTTTGGTTTATTCACAAGAAAATACTAATTGTTTATATAAGAGTAAAAGCATAGCTAAGAAGATGGAGAAGGTGCTATCAATGCTAAGTCTGAACCGTGGTTTCCAAGGTAAGCGTTTTATACACATGATGTTACTTTCAGTATTTTTCTGAATCTCATCTGATGTTCGTATTACTGGTGTCTAAGATGAAACATCTCGGCGTGGGTTAACACATTCAAAAAGAGCTTATCCTAGGGGGCTCCTGACATGTGCTGTCAGCCTCAACATGTGATGCTGATACTCAGTTGAGACAGAGTCAATGGATTTCTGAATGTATGGAATCATATGTTTAGAATCTCTAAAGCTGTTCCTTATGTCTGTAATTAACTTCAAAGCTTCAAATACTGTTGAAATACATGTACAAAGACTTACCATAAGGAAAACAAAAGTGATTGTTAATGTTAGCATCTAAATGTAAGGAGCTATGAAGTTTAACATTGATCACGACTCCATGAATACTATCAACAGAGCAGCAGACTGAAATGAAGAATGACTAAGGCAAGCCTTCTATTATGTTTTATTATAAGAATTTTTGCTACTTAGTGGTTACTTTTGGAAATTAGTGGTGGTTAGTTTTGGAAATTTTCACCATGTGTCTATAAATTAAAAGAAGTGTTGCAGGATTTTGAGCACACTCTATTTCTTCAGTGCTTTTTTCAAATGCCATTGTACTGATTGCCTCAAAAGCTTTGTCTATCTTATGAACAATATTCCTAAACATGACATTCGGTAGCGTTAGTAGAAGCTAGAGGGGTTCTGCTGTAGACTGTATGCATCCTTCTTTCTGACTTGATTTAAGCAGTATTTCCTTTCTTACTTTCATTTATTTCTAGGTAGCCCTGTCCCAAACGAAGAAGGATTTGTTGAATTTCGGATGGTAGGCCCCTTGAAATACATGTGGTGGTACCATGTAGTGGGACTGATCTGGATCAGCGAGTTTATCCTGGCCTGTCAGCAGATGACAGTAGCAGGGGCTGTTGTGACCTACTATTTCACAAGGTATGGACACCTCAGGCAGCTCTGCTGTAAGCAGCCTAGACATGGAATTAACAGAACTAATGAGGGACACAGCTTTTGGGGAGAATACTTGCCTCTGTCCTGCTGGAGAGCAGTTGAATTGTATTGACTCTTTAAGTCATGTCAAGTCCTAAAATAATGTGGTTTGCTGATTATAGATGGTATTCTTGATATTTTGGACACGGGGTCTGGCTTGCCTTGTAACCTTTGTAACATTGTATAGATGCGGATGGCTGTTTGTAAAGCAGAATGCACCTGGAAGATCATCTGTAATGCTCATAATTAATGCTGATAAGCTTGGTAGAGACAAGTGATACAAAATACGTGTGCATTAAAGTTCCATATTTCATTGCTGTATTTGTGTACTAAGTTGTGTATCATGGCATACTTTATGCTGGCTGTTCTGCATGTGTCTGCTAGCTATTCAAGAAGCCAATACTAACTATTAGGCAATGGTTTAACCAACCTTCAGGCACAAGAGTTTTGCTTTGCAGAGATAAGAAACTGATTTCAGAATCACAAACTTAGCACTGGGGTTTCAGTATCTAGTATTTGGAAACTTTTCTGAAATTAGAGTCGCTTAAAATTTACCTTAAGTGAAAATTAAAGTTCTGGTTTTAGCCATTTAGGACCCAGGTTCTTAATTTTAAAATATGGTGTCAGGTGTTCCGTTACTATTTCATGAGAATGAGAATAAATAGTACTTCAGTGATCTGAAGTGTTACATTGTTGTTATGTAGAGGAGCACTGTGGCAATATTTTTGCTAAGGAAAAGAAGCAAGTACACTAATACCTGTTTTATAAAAGTATAGTTTAATGAAGCTTCTCTGCATGTTTTCCTAGATCTAGTAGTTCATAATACATTTCTTCACACCCTGCCCCTCCCAGAAAAAGCCACCACATCATTGTTCAAGAACTAGATGAGTAATTTTATTTTCAGACATTCTCAGAGTCTTTTCCAAACCATATAAATTCAACTCCTCTAGATAAAGAGCAGAATGAGTAGAGGATGTTGGCAAGATACTTAGAAATGGTGAATTACTTAAGAAAGGAAAACTGAGACATTGGAGTGATGCTATTCCCAAGAACTGTCCTAAATACACATGTAGTTTAGCTAGTGGGTTTTGGTATGTGTTTTTAGCCTTTCATATGAGGACTATTATAAAAAAAAATTCAAATGATATCCAGCAGCTACACTCTGTGTGCTTTTAAGAGCCTGGCTTTTTGAAGAATGGGTTTTTAAATAATACATGCAGAAATTTTTCAAGTGCATGATTCAGATCACAAATGTTTAATTGGTTTGTCTTTTTAATTGAGACTGTTATCTGAATTACATTGAACTTCTTATCTGCCCTAGTCTTTAAAACAATATCAAAGGCAATGAATTAATTTACTGTGCTGACAAAAATTCTGTTATTTTATTAATGATGAAGTCCTCCAATATACCAGTGAAATACATCTGTGAAGTTACTACAAGATGTTACAGGGATATATCTTGTGAATAATTAAACTAGGTTGAGTAATGAACTAGAAAAATTCAGAGGACGGTGGATGAATTTGCATTGAAGTAGATCACTTAGCAATGTGTATCCTTAATCTGGAAGTTTTATGTATTTTCTGTCACTTGAGGGTGGGTGATTTTTCTTTAATTGTACCTTATAATTCCGTAACAGGAATTTTATTTTAAATTAGTAAGTACCTGTTTCTCCCTACTGTAATCCTTTTCTGCTTTTTAAGGTACAATTCTAATCTGAAAAGTGACATAGTAAGAAAGGAAAGGGCATGAATTTGGACTTACCCATTATTTTGCATATAGGCAGCTTTCCAAAGCAAATGATATGAAGTTATCTATGAAGAAATGTTTTATATGTGTTCACTGTTCACTTACCTTATCCAGATGGATTCCTTTCATTTCGGGCAATAACAGACCTCAAGGTGTTCTCCGTTACAGACTCTGCCCTCTATTACATTTACCACAAGAGGAGGGAGTGATTGGGTTGCCTGGGTGTAAGACTCAGACCTTGTATGTGATTTTGCCCAAAATGGAATAGAATTTGGCTTCCCCAACCTAAGCTCTAAAAGTTAATTGGAAGAAAATACAGGGTAAACCTATTTTAGTAGTTCACATCTCAGGATTAGGTCACACAGATGTTAGTTTCGTGGCATGAAGACTCTACTTTTTATCCTTTTGAATGAAAGTCACATGAAAGTTACTTTCTCCCAAGGTGAGGAGATCTTTTATGTTTGGAATGTTAGCACTTGTTCCTTTAACGTGCTTAGTATTATGTTCATAATTCTAATAAAGAAGAGCAGCCATTCTTTAAATGTTAAATAAGGCTATTCTTTGAGAGAGAAATAGAAATGGCTTCATTGGTAGGAAATATAAACAAAAACTTTAAGAGGGAATTGCTTCAGAACTGTGAAATTGACTATTCATCTCATAAATTAATAACATTCTAGCCACATTGCAGTAAAATAGCTTGTTGTAAGGCTTGATATTTGGTTCCTTCAGGGTGTAATAGCTAAATCAGAAATGCAAAACATTTGAGAAAAGAATTTACCTAATAAGAAACAACAGTAGTACTGTCTCCAAAGTCTCCATGAAGACCTTCAGGAGAGATGGGGAAGGCAAGTTTATCAGCAGACTGACTGAAAAAGCGTTAGCTTTGTTTCTCACTTTTCTGGAAGGTTTTGAATAGCACACCATCAAATGTAGTTTTGTAGAAACTGCCAGTTGGTGATAGTAGTAATGCAGCCAACTGCTAACTTAAGACATACTGGTTCCTTATCCTATTCCTATTACAGCATTAGAGCCAAAACCATGATTTGCACAAACTGTCAGTGTGGAGTGAAAAATACAGACTGAAAGCTAGTATAAGGATAGTACATTCCTTTTGCACGTTAGTTTATTGAGAATTTGTAGCGCTTCTAGATGTGACGAAATGCATATTGCTCATTCTACTTTATTATTTTTCTCTTTTCAACAGGGAGAAAAGGAATCTGCCATTTACGCCTATTCTGGCATCTGTCAATCGCCTTGTTTGTTACCACCTAGGAACGGTGGCAAAGGGGTCTTTCATTATCACACTAGTGAAGATACCACGAATGATTCTTATGTATATTCATACACAACTCAAAGGAAAAGTAAGAGAAGTAGATTCCATTCTCTTACTGAAACTCAATGTCTGATGTGTTCACAGCTAATTTAATTTAATTTGTGTGTGGGCTGGAAGTCTTGTTTTGAAATATTTGGTCTTTAAAGGACCATGGGACTGAGAGGGACTGCTTTAGTTACGAAGCTAAGTATCAGTTACTGAAACACAAAGGAATATTGTTTTCTTAAGTCTGTTGATTTTAATCTTTACCTTTGTTTTCCTACATTCTGTGCTTTCCTAGGAAAATGCTTGTGCTCGCTGTATGCTCAAAGCCTGCATCTGCTGCCTTTGGTGTCTAGAAAAGTGCCTGACCTACTTAAATCAGGTAAGATTTTCAATATGCAAGTTTTATGTAAGGGCTGATAATATATAATTCCCAGAATGCATTCTGAGGCTGATACATAAGGTATCATACTTTGGAACTGAACTTCAATGAAGGTACTTCAGTCTTGTGTCCATTACTGAAATTACGCTACAAATCACTACATTAGTGTTTGTTTACCTCGTAAAGGTGAAAAATAGCTGGTATTCATCTTTCTGAACATGGTAACTCAACTTTATAGCAATTTGTTTAGTTGTTGGAAGTGTTCCTCCTTATGTCCACTCTATCAAACTACATCTGAGTTTCAAAATACGTTTGTTGTGAAAAGAAAATGAAGCTTTTGTAGGTGTAATTTTTAAGGTTCTATAAAAAACTATACATAACATCAAATTGTCATCATCATCTACGAAGTGGAAGGAATTGTAAGTTGTGACACACTGGCTAGTCAGACCCCTTTGTAAAACAGATTTGATTTGCCTGTAGTTTCACCTCTGTTAAGTACACATCTAAATATCTCTCTAATATCCCTTTCACCCTTGTTCATTTTTTGCTTGTGGAAATACAAAAATAAAAGCAGGAGGCGGCATTTAAAAAAAACCCCAGCATATCCCTGCAAACTGTCTTGGCTAACTTTGAATGCAGTCTGATGGTGTATCTAGAAATTATCTTGGTGGACTTGAATGACTCTCAAACTTGATTATATTTCCTGAATATTTTTTCTAACTACTTAATTGCTGTAGTTATGCCACTGCTCACCACCTCCTGCAGAGTAATTGCAAATTCTGTTTAATTATTTTTTTGGAATAAACTTATTAGTGTATAAATGGTGAGCAAGGGAGGAATAGAATAGGAATTCTCTACCTTGTATAGTCTTTTGTCAGCTGGTATGTACTGCTTGATTCAAAAATTCTCAAGGGAATCTTTGTTCATTAACATCATATGACTTATGTGACTTATTCAGAAGCTCCATCTTCTTCCTTTTCTTCCCCCCCCCCCCCCCCCCCCCCCCCCCGCCCGGCAAGGGCGCTGCTGTTCTATTTGAGATTTT